ACTCTGAAACCTCCTTGCTCATCCGCAATCCTACATTCTGTCTTACCTCTAATTCTTTCAATTATAACCCTACCGTACACTTTTCCTGGTATACTCAGTAAACTTATTCCTCTATAATTTTTACAGTCTCTTTTGTCCCCTTTCCCTTTATATAAAGGGACTATACATGCTCTCCGCCAATCCCTAGGCACCTTCCCCTCTTTCATACATTTATTAAACAAAAGTACCAACCACTCCAACACTATATACCCCCTGCTTTTAACATTTCTGTCATGATCCATCAGTTCCAGCTGTTTTACCCCTTTCATTTTACATAATGCCTCACGTACCTCACCCACACTTACATTCTGCTCTTCTTCAGTCCTAAAAGATGGTATACCTCCCTGACCAGTGCATGAAATTACTGCCTCTCTTTCTTCCTTAACATTTAAAAGTTCCTCAAAATATTCTCGCCATCTACCTAATACCTCCATCTCCCCATCTACTACCTCCCCTACTCTGTTTTTAACTGACAAATCCATACTTTCCCTAGGTTTTCTTAACTTGTTTAACTCACTCCAAAATTTTTTCTTATTTTCATTAAAATTTCTTGACAGTGCCTCTCCCACTCTATCATCTGCTCTCCTTTTGCACTCTCTCACCACTCTCTTTACCTTTCTTGTACTCTCCATATACTCTGCTCTTCTTATAACACTTCTGCTTTGTAAAAACCTCTCATAAGCTACCTTTTTCTCTTTTATCACACCCTTTACTTCATCATTCCATCAATCACACCTCTTTCCTCCTGCCCCCACCCTCCTATAACCGCAAACTTCTGCCCACATTTTAATACTGCATTTTTAAAAAACCCTTCCAACCTCTTCAACCCCCAACTACTCATCTTTGCACTAGCCCACCTTTCTGCCAATAGTCGCTTATATCTCACCCGAACTTCCTCCTCCCTTAGTTTATACACTTTCACCTCCCTCTTACTTGTTGTTGCCACCTTTCTCTTTTCCCATCTACCTCTTACTCTAACTGTAGCTACAACTAAATAATGATCCAATATATCAGTTGCCCCTCTATAAACATGTACATCCTGGAGCCTACCAATCAACCTTTTATCCACCAATACATAATCTAATAAACTACATACTTTCATTATGTGCTACATCATACCTTGTATATTTATTTATCCTCTTTTTCATAAAATATGTATTACAGTGGACCCCCGCATAACGATGGCATCACATAGCGATTAATCCGCATACCGCTTGCTTTAATCGCAAAAATTTTGCCGCGCATACCGATTAAAAACCCGCTCACCGATTTTCGTCCGAGACGCGTCCAATGTGCGCCCTCAGCCAGCCTCACATGTGCCGCCCGTGCCATTGTTTACCAGCCAGCCTCCGCGGTAACATCCAAGCATACAATCGGAATATTTTGTATTATTACAGTGTTTTCGGTGCTGTTTCTGGAAAATAAGTGACCATGGGCCCCAAGAAAGCTTCTAGTGCCAACCGTACCCCAATAAGGGTGAGAATTCCAATAGAAATGAAGAAAGAGTCATTGATAAGTATGAAAGTGGAGTGCATATCGCCGACCTAGTCAAGTTGTACAAGAAACCCCAATCAACCATCGCTACTATTGTGGGCACCAGAAAGACAATCAAGGAAGCTGTTCTTGCCAAAGGTTTAACTGTGTTTTCGAAACAAAGATCGCAAGTGATGGAAGATGTTGAGAGACTCTTATTGGTGTGGATAAATGAAAAACAGCTAGCAGGAGATAGCGTCTCTCAAGCGATCATATGTGAAAAGGCTAGGAAGTTGCATGAGGATTTAATTAAAAAAAGGCCTGCAACTAGTGATGATGTGAGTGAATTTAAGGCCAGCAAAGGTTGGTTTGAGAGATTTAAGAAGCGTGAAGCGTAGTGGCATCCATAGTGTGATAAGGCATGGTGAGGCTGCCAGTTCGGACCACAAAGCGGCTGAAAAATATGAGCAGGAATTCAAGGAGTACATAGACAGTGAAGGACTGAAACCTGAACAAGTGTTTAATTGTGATGAAACAGGCCTGTTCTGGAAGAAAATGCCAAGCAGGACCTACATTACTCAGGAGGAAAAGGCACTCCCAGGACATAAGCCTATGAAAGACAGGCTTACTTTGTTGATGTGTGCCAATGCTAGTGGTGATTGCAAAGTTAAGCCTTTATTAGTGTATCACTCTGAAACTCCCAGAGCGTTCAGGCAAAAGAATGTCCTCAAGGATAATTTGTGTGTGCTGTGGAGGGCAAACAGTAAGGAAATGGGTCACTAGGGACTTTTTCTATAACTGGTTACACCATGCATTTGCCCCCAATGTGAAAGATTATCTAACTGAAAAGAAAATTAGAACTTAAGTGCCTCCTGGTGTTAGACAATCCCCCTGGTCATCCTACAGACGTGGCAGAGCGACTTTATGGGGACATGAGCTTCATTAAGGTGAAGTTTTTGCCTCCTAATACCACTCCTCTCCTGCAGCCCATGGACCAGAGGTTATTGCAAACTTCAAAAAACTGTACACAAAAGCTCTGTTTGAAAGGTGCTTTGTAGTGACCTCAGAAACTCAACTGACTCTAAGAGAGTTTTGGAGAGGGGCACTTTAATATCCTCAATTGTGTAAACCTTATAGGTAAGGCTTGGGAGGGAGTGACTAAGAAGACCTTGAACTCTGCTTGGAAGAAACTGTGGCCAGAATGTGTAGACAAAAGGGATTTTGAAGGGTTTGAGGCTAACCCTGAGAGGATTATGCCACTTGAGGAATCCATTGTGGCATTGGGAAAGTCCTTGGGGTTGGAGGTTAGTGGGGATGATGTGGAAGAGTTGGTGGAGGAGGACAATGAAGAACTAACCACTGATGAGCTGATAGATCAACTTCAAGAGCAAGAGGCCAGACCCGAGGAAACTGGTTTTAGAGGAGGGGAGAGAGAAATTGAAGAAGTTGCCTACTACAAAGATTAAAGAAATCTGTGCAAAGTGGCTTGAAGTGCAAACCTTCATGGATGAAAATCACCCTCAAACAGCTATTGCAAAACCGTGTTGGCAACCTGTTTCATGACAATGTTGTGAAAACACTTTAGGGAAGTCATAAAGGAACGAGAGGTACAGGCCACTATGGACAGATATGTTGTGCGAAAGAAGTCCAGTGACTCTGAAGCTGGTCCTAGTGGCATTAAAAGAAGAAGGGAAGTAACCCCAGAAAAGGACTTGACACCTCAAGTCTTAATGGAAGGGGATTCCCCTTCTAAACACTAACAACTCTCTCTCCCCCCCTCCCATCCCATCAATTTATCACCAGATCTTCAATAAAAGTAAGTGTCATGTAAGTGTGCATGCCTTTTTCAGTTTGTGTGTATTAAAATTAACATTTCATGTGGTAAAAAATTTTTTTTTCATACTTTTGGGTGTCTTGCACGGATTAATTTTACTTCCATTATTTCTTATGGGGAAAATTCATTCACATACCGATTATTTCGCATAACAATTACCCCTCTTGCACGGATTAAAATCGTTATGCGGGGGTCCACTGTACTTATTACCAAATCTCTTTCTACACATAGCTCAATTAAAGGCTCCCCACTTACATTTACCCCTGGCACCCCAAATTTACCTACTACTCCCTCCATAACATTTTTACCCACTTTAGCATTGAAATCCCCAACCACCATTACTCTCACACTTGATTCAAAACTCCCCACGCATTCACTCAACATTTCCCAAAATCTCAGGGTTCTTGTTAAAACATCCAATGCATAAATTAAGTTTATACTTCCATAATCACAATAATCTTGCACATGCTTAACCCTTTCGGGGTTTTGGCCGTACTAGTACGGCTTACACGTAAGGGTTTCTGAACGTACTAGTACGCATAAATTCTAGCGCCGTCAAATCTAGTGAGAGAAAGCTGGTAGGCCTACATATGAAAGAATGTGGTCAGTGTGCACAGTATAAAAAAAATCCTGCAGCGCACAGTGCGTAATGAGAAAAAAAAAAAAACTTTGACCGTGTTTTTGGATTAAAACAGCGACTTTGCACTGTATTTTTGTATGGTATTTATTGCTGTATTCTAGTTTTCCTGATCTCATTTTATAGAATGGAAGACATATTACAGAAATTGAGATGATTTTGACTGATTTTACAATAAAAAGTACCTTGAAATTGAGCTCAAAGTAGCAGAAATGTTCAATGTTTACCAAAGATCAAAAGTAAACAAACCATGCTAAGCGTCCAATACACGTCAACTGGTGAGTCTAATATTCTTTCACAAGTGCGCTGATATTATTTATACCATTTCTACACCAATGCAGTAGTCTGCATAACAGTAAATCTTCTATTTTTTTGTGAGAATAAAAATTCAAAGTGGAAAGCAAAAGAATGTAAGAGGGGCGTGGGAATGTGACTAATGAACAGAGGAAATGTTATTTTAGTGCCAGGAATGTCTTTCTTGTTTATTCTAGACTCTATTCAGAAATTGGCATCTTTTGAAATTTGTGTGAAATTGGCAAAATTGCTAAATTCTGACCACTGTATTGGATAGTTGAAATCGGTAAATGCGTGGTTTCTTGTACTCATTCGATAGTAAAAATGGAGTTCTAGCGAAATAGTTATGATTTTTGTCGACTAGTACACTGGAATTGGCAGAAAATAGGGCTCAAATTGGGCAAAATCGCCGATGCGTAAACATCGTCGAGACCGCTAACTTCGCAAGAGCATATTTCCCTAAGTTTTCCATCAAATTTCATACTTTTGATGTCATTATGATCGGGAGAAGATTCTCTATCTTTTCATAAGAGAAAATTTTTTTTTTTAAATTTGGCCGACCCTGAGAACAAGTCTCTGAGGGGACCTGCCGACCCCCAAAGGGTTAAAAACTTTGGTCATAAAAATGAATGGTCTAATTACATTACCACATATAGGATTACCCTTTAATTTTCATCAACACTTGATTCAAAATAATTATGAAGTATTCTGATTTATCATTACCTGGAAAGAACTGGTCCAAGATTGAGGCCTCTTCTTCAAAAGTGCGATGAGGAGACACTTGAAGCTCAGGACGCTTGAAGTTCTTCCGTGAAAAGTACAGGTCCTGTTGGGATAATAAATACAATTAAGCACAGAAAATTACAGTGATGTCAACAACAGAGGGGGTGCTGAATTCCAACACAGGATAGGTCATGGACCCTGTTTTGTGGTTAAAAGTATCTTCAAATGATACTTTGGGGCACTAAAAAGGGTACAGTGGCTGCCCTGTACTGGCTTCCCCACCAAGTTGTGACATCAGGGAACTAGCGCTATCACACACGCCTGGAGATTCATTAGAATACCTTAACAAAGTAGAATATGGAATCCCCAATGAAAGGTACCCTAATTTGAAATATTACTACAAAATTACATTATTTTAAATTTCAGAAGCCTAATTAAACTCGTAAAATATGCAATATTTAAAGGATTAAGGTTTTTAAATTTTAATAATTTCCAAAATTAGAAAACAGCAATAATCTCCAAGCATGTGCAGCCCGCCAGAAAGCTTTACATCCAGCATGATGCACAGTGCGCCGAGCATTGCCTGCACTTCTGCCAGATTTCAGCCCCGGGAGCCTGGTGCCCCCCCCAGGGGAGCGTGGGACCATGCCACACGCTGTGATGAACTTTATGGCTCAATTTGGCCAGCCACAATTGTCACCCCTGGGGGTCAGGCTGCAGTAGGACTGCCACTTACCCAGCTCAACCTAAAACAAGGAATTTAATGGCTGCCTGTAAGGCCTATTTTTTCTAATTGCAGATTTTAAAATGCTGGATTACTTTTTAAATACTTTAACAAATGAACTATTTAAAAAAGTGAAAAACATACCTAGCACTTAATTGTAACTGTTGGTGCAATAAATAAAGCACTATATGCATAGAAAAGAGCCCAACATTCTCATGTTTTAGAGTACTCTTAGATGATTGCTGACAATAAAAGGAAAACTATACTAAGCATATATATATATACTGTATATAACATGACTATAAAAATACTAAGATATAAACAAGACTGCTTCTAATTTTTTAATGAATATTTCTTTTTTCATTCTTAGATTATGTGGGGCACTAAACACAAGATAGTGGCAAATGGCTGACCAACACAAAAATTTACAATATAGAATACACTAAAAATGCCAAGATATTCCTTATCCTGATAATGTAGTGTAAACAGATAAACTAAGAAAAAACTAAGACAACTCACAATTATGTTTGTCTTATAATATGTTCTTTGAATTTGTATCACTTTTTCACATACAAGTTAATAAATATTAGAAGAGATTCCTAGATGTTTCTATTTCAAGATATAATCCTGAGTGGAGTATTGAGGGTCCATTACATTAGTTTATTCATCACCCAATATTCACAAATGAGTGAAGGAAGTGAGAACTAAATAGTGATACTACTTGATTTACATGGAGATGAGGAAATTTGTTCAGCAGTAAAACCACTAAAAAAAATTTCTACAAATCAAAATTTACAAAAGAGATATTATTTTTTGTTTAATATTTACTCTAGATATCTAATTTTATGAATAGAGTAAAGGTTTTACTTAAGTTTGTCAACAACAATGTCTCTTGTGGGTATGACAAGTATCAATGCAAGACCCTTGCATACCTCTTATTTTAAAGTAAAGAAATCTGAATAAATTTGGAGATTCAACTTTGACATTTTTTAATGACTTTTAAGTGGTAAACATTGTCTTTCCCCAACACAAACTGTAAAATAAAAACAAATTGTATGGTGAACCAATGTCTTTACCTAACCAATATTGAATAATATAAATGATAGTATGAACTATTGTCTTTACCTAACATATACTGTATAATATAAATGATAGTACAGTAAACACTCATACTTAATTTATCAATAACAAAAGCTTATTATACCATACATTTTAAGCAGCACTCTTAATAAGTGAATATTTTATATAACTACATAACCAACTGAAGATTAAAGGAGAATGAATCTGTTCTATTAAATAAATTTAAAATGCTCATTTAACTACAATACAAAAATAATGTCAGCATTCTTAAAATCTGTAATTTGGTATAAGAGACTTTATCTGCAGCCTATAATATACTTTGCTTATATTAATGAGAGACTATGACTTACTTATCTAACTGACATTTAAACTTTGAGGGTAATAAAATCTTGGAAGCAAAAAATTAAATGGGAAGATCAGATAATTGAAAATTCTTATCAATCAGATAATGATCAGATATTCATTGGCAATATCATTAGAATGCCAATTATAATCCAAATTAACTATTATAGAGCTGTTGGCTACTTTAACAAGCAGTATGGGTTTTGGCAGTCCCCCGCGCTGACTGAGCACTCAAATGAGTGAGAACTCATGTTGGGGCAGAAGAACAAGTAGATGACCGCATAATACCGAGATCTGGGTCGATGCGCCCTATTATGTGAAGTGGCTCACGAGTTCACCAATGGCCTGCTGCGGTGATGCCAGTGACTGGCCTGGTTGCTGCAGAAAAATGGGAAGACCAACGGTCATTAAGGGCTACGGTACTATAGTACCCGGGAAGCTGACCCGTGTGGCGCCCTCCATAAGACATACCACCATCCTCTTAAACATTTACATTAACTAAATCCAGTTATGGCAAAATACTGATATGACAAAACTTCAGCATATACAAGGCAAACTGGAGTAATATATACTGTGTATAAAGGAAAGCACTCAAGGTTGGTGGCATGTTTGTGACCGTCTATCACCTGTGCTGGGTACTGGGCACAGGGGGAATACCCACCCAGGTGGCATAGGCAAGCCTGCTCACTCTTCACTACTTTATACTTAAATCCATGTACGTTAAGCTGGAAATAATGCTAATTCAAATTATTTTAAGGTTATATATAATCCAAGGGAAATATGGTATTATAAATGTTCCATAACTAATTTTACAAATAAATAAAATAAAGCAAGTGAGAAAACTCAAAAGCTTTTTTTGCCCAATATAAATTCAAGTACTATATATCTTATAACTTACCTGTATTATACACTTTCTGATTTGCATACACAATAATGCATTACTTTAGAATTTGTCCCTATTATTAAGTATTAAAACATGCTGAAATAATGCTTAATTATAACAAGAATAGTAACTGCTGTTTATGTGGGGCAGAAACTTTTCCTGCTAACTACAATACATGGCTAACTAACTAGTAGTTACATGTCAGTATACCAATCATACCAACATCCATGTTAGTGTAGTCATCAACTGATCTGTTCACCTCCACCTTTTATCTTTCTTCTTTTAACCTTTTAACTGTGTCCAGTGCACTATTAAGCAAGTAATATCAAAGTGTCTGATGTACTCATAAGCACAATTTTTTGTACCTTCAAATCTGCCACTTGACAATATTTTTTGATCTTTTTCACTAATGTATTCTAGCACCATTTAAATCTGTTAAAGGTGTTAAATATGCCAAATAATTACACCAATTTAAATGTTTAATGAGTCAAATGTTATTAACAATTTACTCAACCACAAATGTGTCGATAAATCTCAATATTCTTAATCTCATTACTTGTAATCATAATTCAACCTCAAAGAAATTATTGTTATCTTGTTTGTACTATTTTAAATGCCTAAATTTATGCTTATATACCTACTCAATGACCAATGACTAATTCTTAAGAAGTCTGTAAACATTCGTACTAGCCTACCCAAAATGCTCCGCATGCTAGTGGCTTCCTTTGTGCTTAACAATATTTTATTACATGTAAAACTATATTTTTTATGCTGCAGAAAGAAATAGCTTGTTAATATACCTAACTAGCACAAGTAAACAATGAAATCAGGAACTGTTGTTCCACCACCAGCTTCCCTACCAGCAAACAGGGTGTGAAAGTGGCATAAAGATAACTTATTCAGTCCAAATTTATTACAATGTCATGATACTAAACAGTGGAATTGAGCCACATAGCAAACTAAGTACAGGAAGGCCCCGCTTTACGGCGTTTCACTTTACGGCGTTCCGCTAATACGGTCATTTCAAATTATGACCAAAACTCGCTATACGGCTCCCCCCACCTGACTTTCTAATACGGTCACCGCGCCCCACCTTGTTTGTTTACATTCTTCGTGAGCTCAGTAAGCACTAAGTCTCTCCATTTTGTCTGGAAACTCCAAAATTTCAAATGTTTTTAAAAGTTATTTCATATTTTATATATACTCTGATAATTATACTTATGTATACCTGTACTTAAATAAACTTACATACTGTGCTGGCATGCAGGTACACATTAAAATCAGTAAGAGTGTCTTATGTCTCCAGACGTCATATTAGTAATGATAATAATAATCATCGTCTCATTTAAATGTCGTATATTACGTTAAATACACATTTTCATTAATCCATCTATGATATTTTTTCAAAATTATATAATAAACACGATACATAACATAAAAAGATGATAAATACACCCCACAATAGAATAAATAAACATAAATATGAGATGTGGTAGCAGACGACTTGCACAAGTGACGCCATATTAGAAATGCTAATAATAATAATAATAATAATCACCGAGTCTTATTAAATGTTGTATATTACGTTAATACAGTGGACCCCCGGTTAACGAACTTTTTTCATTCCAGTAGTATGTTCAGGTGCCAGTACTGACCGAATTTTTTCCCATAAGGAATATTGTGAAGTAGATTAGTACATTTCAGACCCCCAAACATACACGTACAAACGCACTTACATAAATACACTTACATAATTGGTCGCATTTGGAGGTGATCGTTAAGCGGGGGTCCACTGTATACACATTTTCATTAATCCATCCATGATATTTTTTCAAAATTATATAATAAACACGATACATAACATAAAAAGATGATAAATACACCCTACAATAGAATAAATAAACATAAATATGAGATGTCGTAGCCAGATAACTTGTACAAGTGATGCCAAGAATAACATTTTCTCTAATCTAACATAAGAGAAAATGTGTTACTGGGGGTAACTGTAGAAAATTATTCCTTTCGTATGTATGTAAGTAAGTTTATTCAGGTATACACAAATACAGTTACATAG